GGTGGACGCGCGTCGCGGTGGCGGTGCTCGCGGCGTGGGGCGGGACGCGCGGGGCGCGGATGGATGCGGGCGCGCGCGCGCGCGCGGAGACGTGTCGGAACTGCGTCGGTGGAGCGACCGGTGGGGCGTGGTGCGCGGCAACGATGTCGTGCGCGCGTAGTGTGTGGGATCTGGGGGGGTGTGGGTTCGCGGTGACGACGGCGAAGGCGTGCGGGGCGCCGGGATTGAAGGATGTGGCGCGCGGAATCGGCGCGCGCGACGCGTTCGATGCGATGGACGAGGGATTACGCGCGTTGGTCGAGCCGCGATGGGTGAAGCGAGGCAGAGATGACGCGCAGAACATCCATGGTGCGATAACGGACGTCGAGGAGGCGTTACGTTGACGGTGGTGACGTCGACGGCGCTCGTCTCCGCGTTCTAGGCACAGCGAAGCGGGCATCGGGTAGCGTGTAGATGAAAATTGTTGTTTTCAAAGGCCAACCGTTCTGTTAGCCGCTAAAGTATAGCGAAACTCCTCTCGGAATACGACGACTGTGTCGCGAGTACGTCGACGAGAGGCTCGATGGCTCGATGCTGCTAATGCTGCCGCTGTTGCCGCGCCAAACGTCTTGAACAACGCGTCGTGGTACCTTCGCGCCAATCTCACCCCCCACTCCCCCCGTCGTCGACCATCCTCATCGTCGTCGCGTACGAACCTGTGCTCCCTCGCGAGCGCGTCCGCGTCCGTCTCCGCGAACGGCGCGTCTCTCAGCGCTTCGCCGCGTCGCCGTTTCGCATTCGGCCCCTTGAACCACTCGTCGTACGCGCTTAGCATCGCCGCGTGCCTCGATCGCGGGCTCAGCGCGCGCGCGCGCGACGCGACCTCTCGCAGCGCGCGCTCGGCGACGTCTTCGGCGCGCGCGCGACGCATCGCGCGCGAGCGAACGGCGACGGCACGACGACAGCTGCCCGTGAAGCACACGGCGTGCGCCCACGCGAGACTGTTCGCCCACACGAACGGATGGGTTTATCCAACGCAGACGTGTCCACGGGCGGCGCGGACGTCATCGTGTTCGCCGAGCGCGTCGCCGTACGTCGACGCGCGCGAACGCATCGCGCGTCGCGCGTCTCGGAAGCGCGGCGCGCGTCTCGTGAGCGCGTCCACCGCGCGCGCGTCGTCGGTGGGGACGCGCGCGAGACCAGGGAGGTCGACGACGATCGGTCAAACGATCGATTGGGGACGATGGCGGAGGTGCCGATAA